TTAAAAGATCTGTTTAACAGCTTATAATAAAATATGTATTGAAGATTGATTAAAAATTTAACATAATTAAATTTTTTCTAAGATTTAAAATAAAATAAAAATGTTCAGCAAAGGTACCAGAAAAGTAAATCTATTCAATATTTTAAAATTTTTTTATTCATTACAAATTTTGTTTGATAGTATCCTTTGTAACAACCAATATTTTGAATAACTTTAACCATTTAGGCATACAGGAGATCAGTTTACGGCAGGTTTCGAAAATAAGAATACCACTGGATGCATTTTGTGCAAAAGATGAGGAACGATGCAAGGTTCCGGTAATAAAACGAAGACATTATATATATATATATATATATATATATATATATATATATATATATATATATATATATATATATATATATATCTATATATATATATATATATATCTATATATATATATCACAAAAATAAGTATACAGAAATACTGACGATTGGTTTTATTTAAAAAAAAAAATTATTTTTCAAAAAAAAAAAAAAGTAACACATTTATTTATTAAAAACAATTATGATAATTATTATTCACTACTTTTTTTCTTCATATTTTGGTTCTTTGAGTTCTCATTTAAGCTGAAGTTAAAAAGGTGCAAAATTTACGTCACAAAAGTAAGTATACAGATATACAGAACTTCAGTATATATTTGGTTTAATGATATTATCAAAATTTATGAAAATTTTACTTGTATTAATATAAAATAAAATATTTTTTACACAATAACTTGGAAAAAAACTACTTTTAGTTCCGAAATCTTGAAATTTGGGCCGATTGGCTCCGGAATTAATTAGTAGAACAGTTTTTTTCTCATTTCTACGATTTTTTCTACTTTAGACCCCGGATTTTGGATTTTGTGGTCATTGAACCCTCCAAATGATGCCTTGGAAATAGAATTTTTAACTTTTGAAAAGAGTTGTTATTTCGAAATTAATTTTATATGCATGGATTTAGCCATTTTGAACACAGTACGTTCTTAAAAAACCGAAATTTAACTCCGATTTCTTAAGAATTACAACATAAACTTTAAAATTTGGATAGTTCTATATATTTCCTTTAATTTAAATAGGTTTTCCAAATACTCCGATTTCCAAGGCATACAATAATGCTACCAATTATATCTTGATATACTCGATACAATAACCATGTTTTATGGATCGCACATTTTATTTGTTATAGCATCAAATTAAGATGTACCCGTTTTCAAAATTTTTCAATTCGTATTCATACCACCACTTGAGCCTGATTTAATATAAAAATCTTACTATTTTGGACAATAATTAATTTCAGAACCGATATGTAGTGTAAGTTATTAACATGGTCACCATTTGACGATTATTGGAAGTATTTAGGAGTGTGTAATGGATGATTGGAACCAAAAAACTTGTTTTAATTAATGGATACTAGTACAAATATTATTAATATCGCATTTTAAGATATAAATTTTAGGAAATCGCCATTAAATATCGAATATGAACGCTATACTATGTTAAAAACGGCAATGTTCCGCAATGGATTGCAATTATTGTAAACAAACAATTAATTTAAAAGTTAAAATATCATCATCATAATGAACAAACGAGGGATATTGTTGAATACCCGATCCAAAACTCCGGGGTTTAAATAGTCAGATGTTCTTTAATAGGAAAAAATGCTCCTATAAATAATATTCAGATCAATACCCAAAAATTTAAATTTTTCGGAACAAAAAGTAAATTTTTTCCATGTTATAATGTACAGAATATTTTATTATAAAATAATTACATTCAAACAGGTAAAATTTTCATGAATTTTGTAAATATCATTAAGCCAAATACATATTGAAATTATCTGTATACTTACTTTTGTGACGTAAATTTTGCACCTATTTAACTACACCTTAAATGAGAACTCAAGTAACCAAAATAACCTGGAAAAAAGTAGTGAATAATAATTATCATAATTGTTTTTAATAAATAAATTTGTTACTTTTTTGATTTTTGAAAAAATAATATCCTTTTTTAAATAAAACCAATTGTCAGTATTTCTGTATACTTATTTTTGAGATTAACTGTATATATAGATATATATATATATATATATATATATATATATATATATATATATATATATATATATATATATATATATATATATATATATATATATATATATATATATATATATATAGTACTTTTGTGCTTTTTTCTATTCTAAAGCCAAAATATTATAAACTATGATTTTGATAGTATCAGACATATGTACATATATTTGGAAATACTACGATCCAGAAAATAGCATATGGAAATTTTTTATCAAAGTTATATAGATCCGTATATATTACTCCCACAACTTATATTTTCCACCGGAAAACTATTTCTATTTCAGAACCTGTAATCTGCTGTATATCCTCAGCAAATAACAATTTTAAAAGAGAATAGGATGTAGTTTCCTATGATCGAGAAAACTATAAACTATATTACATCTTGAATGAATGTCTACGATGCCACTTTTGTATGCAGAATAAAAACAAGTAAGAAAGTACAGTCGGGCGTGGCCGACCATATGATACCCTACACCAGTTATGAATATTAAATGTGATTTATTTTTCATAATAAAGCATTTATCTTCCATATTCCCTTGTTCCGATACATTTAAGCAATTTATGGATGAAAAACTATTTTTCTGAAAGAGGCTTTATATGGGGGCTAGGGGCAAATATGGACCAAGCCCGATAAAATTTTGTGAATATATTTATATTTACATAATATTTTATTGTGCTGAATTTCATTGCGATATTTGTGTTTATAAGCTAATTTAGGACATTCAAGTAATTTTCTGAAGGGGACTTTGTATGGGAGCTTTTGTATGGTCAAATGGGGCCCGATCTTTATGAAATTTGGCAGGGTCATCAAGACTTCTATAAAACTTAGTTGTGCCGTATTTTATCGATATATCTGTATATTTAACATAATTATGAGCTCAGAAGCCCTTTTCGGGGGGTTCTGTTCTATGGGGGCTAGGTGAAATAATGGACCGATTTCAACCATATACAATAGGCTTCGTCAAATAAAACGTGCATGGTCAAATAAAACGTGCATGCCAAATTTCATCTAATTATCTTGAAAATTGCGATCTGTACCTTGCGCACAAGGTTTACATGGACAGCTAGCCAGACGGACGGACGGACGGACGGACATAGCTTAATCGACTCAGAAAACGATTCTAAGCCGATGGGTATACTTTAAGGTGGGTCTAGGACGAATATTTTTGTATGTTACAAACATCAGCACAAATCCAATATACCCTCCCCACTAAAGTGGTGTAGGGTATAACAACTGAACAAAAATCGCTCCTAAAATAGGGTAAGTAATATATTCATATTACATTTTTCACAAAAGTTCGAATTTTAAACTTAAATCTTAAATCTCCCCTTCAAATTTCTATTTATATAACTCTTTAATTATTCGAGAAAACAATAAAGATACGTAATTATTCATATTTTCCATACAAATCGAGTTTTATATCAAAAATAAAAAATTTAAATTTATTGTTATATCGATATAACAATAAAAATCTGCAATAAGTTAAATAAACCATAAAAAAATTATCTTGATATAAATTCGGTTACCATTTTTTAAATGCAGCTCAAACCTAAAAAACCATGATGATATGTATTTGACTACTCATTAGAGTGTCCTGAGAGACAGCACTTTTGCAAATCTTATATAGGTAGACCTCTCAAACGATGCATATAAAGCATTGATCATTGATTGATCAAAATGTGTATGAATTCATCATTCAATATCGTTTTATACTTTTAGAACTTTTCAAATTAAATAATGGTTTTGAATAATTGCAGTTTCCATTTACCATTAACAAATTACGAAATTTTGTAATTAGAGTAAGATGTGGATATTTGAATAAGTAAAATTATATATATATATATATATATATATATATATATATATATATATATTAAGTTGTTCATTATTTTCTTAACTGTTAATCGAGTACCATTACAAAGCGGTGGAGGATCAATATTTCGCAGTAAAATAATTTGTGCCCCTATTATGGTTTACAACTCAACTTAGTTGAATTGAAATTTAAACAACTCAATTTTAAAACAACTTAACTTTTTTTTGGTATTAACAATTACAACTAATTTTGGTTGAAATTGTATTGATGTTGCCAACCTAAAAAGTGACAAATTGACAGATAATCAAACAGATGATAATATTGTGTAAAAAACATAAAACAATAAAATTGAATTTAAATTGTTATTTTTTAATAAAGACTAAAATGGATACAAGTATTGATTTATTTTATAACGACATAAGTGATGATGATACTATTAATGTGCTACGTATAAGAAAAAGTCTCCGTGACCACTCCAATCCTTTGGAACTTCCGAGCGCAAGGAAATGTTCTTTTTATAGTTGAATAACTTTTTCATAGATGTTTTTGTAGATTCTTACAGTATTTTCGTTTAAATAAGGAAGCCTTTTGCTTCCTTCTGAATGAACTAAATGATTATTTCAAAAAACCTGTCCGAGGTACCGCTATACCCCCTATATTGAAGCTATGTGCAACTCTCAGATTTCTGGCTGACGGGAGTTATCAAAAAAGTTCTGGAAACGACTTTAATGTTGGATTGGCGCAGCCTACAATAAGTGTTGTTATGAAAGAAGTTTTAAATATCATCGAGCAGCGTGTTTGCGCGAAATGGATAAAAACTGAAATGTCTGAAGAAGATCAAAACGCCTCAAAACTGTGGTTTTATTCAAAAACTGGGTTTCCGGGAGTTTTGGGATGCATCGATGGGACACACGTTCGTATTATTTCGCCAAAAAAGGAGATGCAACATCTTTATCTCAATAGAAAAGGTTATTATAGTTTAAATGTGATGATTGTAAGTTAATATTGAGAAGAATGAACCCTAGTGTGTCATACATAAGTATATTTTTATTTTCAGCTTTGCGATTACAAAATGGCTATCCGGTATGTGGATGCCAGGCACGCCGGCGCAAACCACGATTCCTTTGTTTTTAATACAAGTGATTTAAAGTCGTATTTGCAGAGAAATTCCTGGATTTTAGGTAACGGTGTTATTTGTATGAATATATCACATTCTGTAATATGTATAGTATGATATTATTAAAAAAATATGTTTTGATTTGATAATTAAAGGTGATGCTGGCTACCCTCTACAAAGTTTTTTGATGACTCCATTTCGCATGACAGAAACTGGTTCCCCAAAAGCTCGCTACAATACTATACACTCGAAAGCCCGAAATATTGTTGAGCGCACAATTGGAGTATTAAAGAGCCGATTTCGTTGCCTTTTATCTGCACGTGCCTTACATTACTCACCAAACAAAGCTACACAAATTGTGAACGTTTGTTGTGCCTTGCATAATATATGCCTACACTTTCGAGTAGAAGTTCCCGAAGAAATGACACCAGCTTCAAGTACGGTTCAAAGTAATGAAAATTTCAACATTGAAAGAGAAGATGATGATAATGCCAGAAGAATACGAAATAACATCATGTTATCACTTTAATAAAGTTCAAATGTTTCATTATTGTTTTTTATTTCATGTTTTATTTGTAATTCATTTAGTCTTTTTAAAGATAAAATAACAAAAATATCACTTCATGAGATATATAAAAGTAACTTAAAAATAACGACATACAACAAAAAATATATCACTTCATGTGTTCTAAAAACTATTCTATTTTAAAATAAATAAGGTAAAGGGCATTTAGCAAAGGAACATTTAACCATTTACAAAAAATGTATATCTATTGAAGAGCTCTCATCTTAGCTATTTTTAATTTTTGGACTTCAACCTTTAATGTGTGCAGTTCATGAGCTTCCTTTGCTTGTTTTTTATATATTTCTAATTTTTGTTTTTTTACTTCCAGTAATTTTTTATTTATTTCATAATTTTTATATATAGTTTTCTCTAATTGTTCAATTTTTGCTAACAATTCCTTTTGGGTCTGAGTCTGCAATTTTAAAAGCTCTAGGCGCTCACTTTCCACATTTTTGCATTTGCGGCGATTTCTTGTTATTTGTGACGCAGAGGAAGTAGGGCGGTCAAGGCTTTCTATTTGAATTTCAGAAGGTGATATGGAATTGTCCATAATTTCATCAACATCCATCTCTGGTTGTATATTTTCAACGCCAAATGATTGTCCTGAAGGTGCAACTTGCTCCTTTATTTTTATTAAATTTGCTACACTTTCCTCCAGTGGATTTAACGACACTTCTTGCGAGGGTCCACCACCAGTTGCTAGTAAATTGCTCCTGTTGTTAGCAAGTTTCCTTTTTATGTTTGCTTTATAGTGTATCCAAACCTATAATACACATAAAATATCTTTGCACTTTAATTCTATTGGTCTACTTTCCTAACCATTACTTACCCGTCCCCACTCGTGCGCAGTTCTAGATGGCGGCCCACAGTGGTATAGGAAAAAAAAAAGAGGAAAATAATTCGGTAACTTCTAAACGGTTAATCCGATTTTAATGAAATTTGGTATGCACAAAAAGGAGGTGTTGTCGAGTTTAGGTTTTGAATTTGGACCTTATAGGCCAACCAGGGGCCCGGCGGGGGGTCCTCAAATTAGGACACCTCGGCTATGTTAAATTTTTAAAACGATCTTATTTCTTCATTTGAGTTCCGATTTAAAAAAAATTTCGTATATAGAATCTTCTCATCGAGCACTATAAAAATGTCGTCGTAGCAGTAAATTATCTCTTATAGTTTAGGAGATATTCGCATTTGAAAATTAAAATTTTAAAATTTTTACCGTCCTACTTTAGTTTTTTGATAATAGCGGGTCCAAATATTCCCGATTTTCGCCATTTTTTTTTTATTCGCTTAACAACAAGTCTATATATCAAGCAGTGAAAGAATTATGTAAAAATCATGACTGAGTCCAAAGTTATAGGCATTTTAATTTAAAAAATTAAAAAAAGGCGATTTTTTGCCATTTTTTTGGGAAAAAAGTATCTTTTTCTTTTAAGTTATCTAAAAGTTTCTAAGAAGATGTATATAGAATTTATACTTTTTGAAAAGCTGACTTTACATAAAATACGATAAATGAAACAAAACCTAAAAATTTTTGATACCGAGGGGACCAGGTCCATCCAAAAAACCCTATTTTTTTATAGAAAATTCAATTTTGAGCAAAAATTCTCAAATCGCATAGTCGATATCAAATTATAGTGACCTGTTTTATATGACCCAATATGTTCTTAATCATTTTGTAACGGGTTTCGATAACCCCGCCCCTGGTATGGATATAATAGGCAAAAAACCAAAAAATCCCATTTTTGGGATTTTTTAAAACTTTTTGGGGAATTCCGGGATTTCTAATAAGAAAATTCGAAATTTTTATTTAATTTTGGATTTTGAGTAAAAAAATCTACCTAACTGTAAAATTTCATCAAAAAATATTCATAAATAAAATTTTTATTGCAATTTGAAAAATTTGTATCTTCGCAAAAACTGAATAAAAAACATTTTTTAATTTTTTTTAAAAAAGTATTCCGCGAATTTTTAATTTTCAAAAATTATATACAGTTTTGAAAAATAGACAAAATTACCTTCCATTGATATATAACATGCCTACCTAATGTTTTTAAGTGACAAATTAATTAGGGAAAACTCAACATCTTTTAGAGAATTTACCTAGTACTATTATTTTCAACCATACATTTGTTAGGCATGTTTTACTACCTAAATTTTTATGAATTTTTACAGCCACTTTTTACGATTAATCTTTTATTCTTTATCCCTAAAAAAATTAACAAGTATTTATTTTATATAAAAATAGTCTTTATTTATTTTTTTTTTTTATAAATTAATATAATTTTGTAAAATAATCGGTATCACAGTAGTCCATATCTAAAAGATAAAGTAAATCTTTAAATTCATGAATATTTTCAAATGCTAACGTTTTGTAGCAAATCCAACGTTTCCTTATAGTAGATAAAACAGGATCAGAAGATAGAATCAGATTATTAAAAATATCTTCATTTTGAGACTGCCTAGAACACTTCCTTGAGCTAAACTGATGAATATGCTTAAAGTCTCTATTCCTCGATTCTTGGGGTTCTTCTGTAAGCTCTCCTAAAGGCAGAATATTATGTTCTATGATGACCTTTCCATGACATAATATCTTGTGAACTGTAGGTGTCATTTCTTTCCAGGGATATAATTCCAAAAGTAATTTAGAAACTTTTGTAGAATACTCTCCAAATTTTGTTGCGTTCACTTTATGCTTGCTATTTATCGCCATTAGAATAATATTGACCTTTTGCAGTAAATCCATACTAATTCCGGTTATTTCGGAAGTAGTTTCAAAATGTTTAAAAAAACGTCTAGCGGTATTACCATCGTTTGTGCTTCCATATCCTGTGAGTGGTTTATCAATATTTAATCCCATCCGCTTTTTAAATTCCTCTTGAATTCTTCGTTTCTCACTGGCTCTCATTTCCATTAACTCCTTATTGTTATTTGCACTTTTGTTTGCATTTTCCGGTATGCTTCTGTACTTTAAATCATATGCTAAATGTAGAAAATGTTCCAGAAATCGTATGCGAGCATGTAGGGGGGATATTCCAAATTGTAATGTTTCCTCATTTATTGATCTTTGCTTGGAAATATTCGAAAATTCTGATTTTTTATCACCACATATGTAGCAGTACCAAGTAGATGATGTTCCTGTAATGGCATTTCCAACTTTCCCATCAATCATTGTAAGTTTTAAATCATAGGACATGTTAAACGAATAATTTTCTATTTCGATTGTTATAGGTTCCAAGTTTTTAATTTCTGCTTCAATACGATTTATCAAATATTGCGTTGTTGTTTTGGATTCCTTTATATACTCAAAGCTTATTGGCCTACAAAAAGCTTTGGATCCTGGAGTCGAATTCTTCCAAATATCATCGAAACTGGTTGATGGAGAATCGCTGTCAGCATACTTTCGAATTCTTAATGGAACTAGCGATGCCATAAATACACTTTTATACTCGGAAGATGATTCACTTGTGTTGATTTGTTTATATTCCGAGAGTGCTGATAATCCATCACATCCCCACTTACAAATGAGTTGAAGATCACAAGAATTTATTTTTTTTAGTTGGTCTGAAGAAAAGTCAGAAGCAATCCTTAAAGCAGTATTTTCGAGTAGAGCGCCGAGTCCCAATAACAGCCTTCCGATCAGTTATTTCAATAGGAGGTGGTATAATGCTTTTCTTCTTTTCATTTATTTTGTCATATGATGGTAAAACATCCACTCCTTTTTCAGATAGCGCCTTTCTTAACGTTATGTAGTTATCACGACTTAATCCCAGCTGCAACATAAGCGCAATAGCTTCTTCCTCAGTGAACGTTGTAGCAGATGATGGTGTGGGTATACTCTTTACAATTCTTTTCAGTCGTCTTGGTGATGCGGTTGGAAGAATATTTGCAATTTTTATGGCATCCAAAGGCTGTTTTTCTTTTCTTAACATTGCTTTAAAAGTGTCCGAAACTTCTTCGTTAGATAAGGTTTCTAGTGAAGTTGATAACCTTTTCCTCTTAGATTTTGAGCTCAAATCCTCATACTGCTTACAGGGAGCACCAACAGTTGATACGCAAATAGCAACTTCTACACATTCATCCAGCCAATCAGAAAATTTCGATCGAAATTTAGCAATGGAATACCGAACACTCTTCAGTTTTATATCAACTGATTTTATAAAATTTTCAATTTTACATATATCAGTTTTATCCACTTTATTTTTATGTGCAGTTTCAATATATTTCAATAAGAAGTTCACTTTATCTTGAAAAGGAGCTGAAGAGTGTTCAAATAAAATGGAGCACAAATCATTTTTTTTTAGTACGATCGCCATGGTTAGAAAATTACAAATAATTACAAACAGATATAAACCTGTCTTATATATTAATTACAGGTACTTAAATTAAATTATTTTTTAAAGGGTTATGATATTCTACCTAATATGTCTAACGTATCCTTATGTAATGAATTTTTCCTCAATAGGTCACTTTAATAAGCTACCTATTAAAGTGACCTATAGGGGTAAAAATCATTACAGTTTAAAAAATAATACCTGAAAATTTTTTAATATATGTAACAAATTTAAGAGTTAACGTTATGGATGAAAATAATAGTGCTAGGTAAATTTTCTAAAAGATGTTGAGTTTTCCCTAATTAATTTGTCACTTAAAAAACATTAGGTAGGCATGTTATATATCAATGGAAAGGTAATTTTGTCTATTTTTCAAAACTGTATATAATTTTTGAAAATTTAAAAATTCGCGGAATACTTTTTTTAAAAAAAATTAAAAAATGTTTTTTATTCAGTTTTTGCGAAGATACAAATTTTTCAAATTGCAATAAAAATTTTATTTATGAATATTTTTTGATGAAATTTTACAGTTAGGTAGATTTTTTTACTCAAAATCTAAAATTAAATAAAAAGTTCGAATTTTCTTATTAGAAATCCCGGAATTCCCAAAAAAGTTTTAAAAAATCCCAAAAATGGGATTTTTTGGTTTTTTGCCTATTATATCCATACCAGGGGCGGGGTTATCGAAACCCGTTACAAAATGATTAAGAACATATTGGGTCATATAAAACAGGTCACTATAATTTGATATCGACTATGCGATTTGAGAATTTTTGCTCAAAATTGAATTTTCTATAAAAAAATAGGGTTTTTTGGATGGACCTGGTCCCCTCGGTATCAAAAATTTTTAGGTTTTGTTTCATTTATCGTATTTTATGTAAAGTCAGCTTTTCAAAAAGTATAAATTCTATATACATCTTCTTAGAAACTTTTTAGATAACTTAAAAAGAAAAAGATACTTTTTTCCCAAAAAAATGGCAAAAAATCGCCTTTTTTTAATTTTTTAAATTAAAATGCCTATAACTTTGGACTCAGTCATGATTTTTACATAATTCTTTCACTGCTTGATATATAAACTTGTTGTTAAGCGAATAAAAAAGAAATGGCGAAAATCGGGAATATTTGGACCCGCTATTATCAAAAAACTAAAGTAAGAACGGTAAAAATTTTAAAATTTTAATTTTCAAATGCGAATATCTCCTAAACTATAAGAGATAATTTACTGCTATGACGACATTTTTTATAGTGCTCGATGAGGAGTGCTCGAAGAAATAGGATCGTTTTAAAAATTTAACATAGCCGAGGTATCCTAATTTGAGGACCCCCCGCCGGGCCCCTGGTTGGCCTATAAGGTCCAAATTCAAAACCTAAACTCGACAACACCTCCTCTTTGTGCATACCAAATTTCATTAAAATCGGATTAACCGTTTAGAAGTTACCGAATTATTTCCCTCTTTTTTTTTTCCTATACCACTGTGCGGCCCTAAACTGTTCAGCACAACAGCAAATTCCTCCCACAATTCTTTATTTTTATTTTTGCTGCATCCAAACTGCGGTTTACCTCGACCTGTTTCGGGATGCTTCTCCATTAGTTCAACAAGTTTTTCAAACTGTTGTTTTGTTGTAACTCTGTTTTTTCTGCAAAAATCATTCGAAATTTCTTTTAAATAAAATATTTGAGGACAATTAAAAAAAAATTACTTACCCGCTTTCCATTTTTATTAATAATACATTTAAAACAACTGCTATTTTGGAGTTGTATTTTTTGACGTTTTTGTCAACCACACTAAAACAGGGTTGTAAACGATAATACCACAAAAAAGTTGTATTGTGATATAATTTCAACTTAAACATTTTTGACAGGTTAAGTTGTAATCGGTAATGACAAATAAAACAATTTCAACTAAAGTAGAGTTGAGTTGTAAACCATAATAGGGGCATTTATTTTCAGATGGCAAACGCATTGCATTTAGACCAAATCGGTAGATGGTCCAAATACGAAAACTAAAAAGGCTTTAATGGAATTATACTGATGGCGGTTGTGGATGTCAATATACATATGTAGGTTTATAGTAGGCTCCGAAAGAAATTAACAACTTAATTTTCAAATTCCTTTTCTGGAGTTTCAAGTTCTTCTGGGTCGGTTCGGATCGTCCGCATCTGATACTGATGGTTTTAGATTTAAGTTTTTTGACGGTGAAGACTCTTCCATGTCAGAGTGTGAACTGTCTTCACGTATCTGAAAAAATAAAACCCGGTGTCCAAAATTTTTAAAATTGTTGAATTTTAATGGACTAATCTATTGACTATTGAAAAATATTTTGACTATACTAAGTATTAATCTATTAGTCTATGTATTAGCTTATTAAATATTTTATTGAATAAACTATGTAGTTTTTTTAGTTGCAAGGTTTATCGAAATTCCTAATTACAGAATAATTAAGACAATATGTATTCGGCCATTGCAAATGACATTAGATTGTTCAAATCACTTGAAAATGTTTTTATATTTACTTGTATTTCAATATGCTAGTAATATTTTCTTCTATGGTTATCTATATTTACATACATATGTGTAACGATAAGAAGGTTAAAACATCACTTATTTAATGGTCTAATTTTCCAGAAGTCCTTATCTTGTGTTTACGTTTATAACACACAGTAAGTGATAAGGATTAAAATGAACACATGTGTTAATTACGTACGCATGTGCTCTGAGTTTTTATACATGTGTAAAACAATCCTTATTTTTCTACATGTGTTTAGAAAATGTATTCTAGGTTAGTTTTAAGATTTTTGTTTTTAGTTATTAAGTTTTAGAAATAAATCCAATGTCTTACTAACACTCACGAGTGCGTTACAACCACTAAACAATAAAAGTGTTTAAAAAAATACGCTTCATCATTTGGTCCTTCGAACCGGATCAGTGACCGATAGATATCACTGTCCGAAAAAATACAAAAAAATATTAATCAGAGAAAGTGATTAATATTTAAAAGCGTTGATCACGGCTTACAACAGTGATCAAATTAAAAAATAAAAATATTGAATTGGTACAGAGACCAATCAAGATCAAAACAATAAATTTGGAATATAATTTATTGCAACAATAACAAATTGTTAATAAAAACAAAAATTGGAAGTTTATAACAGATTCCAAAATAAAACTTAAAACAAAAACACTTGGATACTAACTCCATGTAATTTTATAAGAACAAAATAAAACAAAAAAAGAATCATTGGAAATCTATAAAAGATTCCATTTCCAAAATCAAAATTAAAAAAAATCAAAAATAAAACACTTATTTCAAAAAAAACTAAAAACAAATAAAAACGCCCCCTTTCAATCAAAAACAAAATAAAAACAATCATGTTGAGCAGAGTGAATCTCTACAAAGTTCACAAGGAAATTAGTAACATTTCCGAAAAAATAAAAGGAAACCTGGTGAGGAAGGCTGCCATTGAGGAGACAAAAAAGAGCCTTCATAGCAAATGGAGCGGTCAATGACGACCAATATTTCAAAGAGAATGTCTTTGAAAATACAAAAGCATTGCTGCAAAATGCAATCATTTCATTAGACGAACTAAAATCCGAACCTGAACAGCAAGAAGTACAGGAGCAAAAAAATTTTACCAACATAGACGAAAAGTTGCAGCATTTTCAAAAGCAAATGCTGTTGCAAATGCAACAAATGATTCAAGAGCCTAAAATAATTCAGAAAGAAGAGAGTATACCTACTAAAGAAAGCGCATTACTGAATCAATTTAGAAGAAAAGTACACAAATTAAGAGAAGCCCTTGAAGAGGACCAAAATGCAAATAGCGCAGTTGAATTGGAGAAAACTTATCTTCTTGTGAGAAGCAGATCAATAATATAAGACTACTCCGGTCAGATTTATCCATTAACTTTTTAATGGGGCAACAATTCGATGAAAAGTTTGAGGAAATCGACAAATTCTATGAGATAAAATCAAAGGATATGATGAAGAAGTCTCCTAAATTGAATGAGAACACAAATCCATTAGCCAGAAATGAAGAAAATTTTGAAGAGGGAAACACGGATGTTGAGTTTCCAATTTATGATCTTGACTTTTTTAAAAAAAATCCACAGAGGAAGTAAAGAAGCATTCAGTTGGTTCCGAGGATTGTTCTATAAATCAAAGTGGTGCCGCGTTTGAAGCAGAAGAAGTTCTTGAGGAAGATCCCGCCAAAGATACGTTTGCAACATATGAGGATTTAGCTACAGAGGAAAACAAAACTAGCGAAAAATCATTGGTACTGGTACTGTTCTGGTAGCGAAAACTCCTGAGTATAACGAATACGCACCAAAAGAGTATATACCAGTCACCACTTAAAAATATGGCGGCCTCTATGGAAACTGCCAAAGTAAGTGGCAAAGTGGCTCAAGATTTAAACTTATCTATTAGTGGTAATGAGGATCGAGCTAACGCTGACGAAAATAATGAAGATGGCAAACATTCTACTCAAGATGTTGCAAATGAAGAATCTGCTGATGAAGAAATTGGAGCCATAAATAGTGAGGCCGAGCCAGACAATGTATTTGCTGATGATGATTCTGATGTAAAAAATCCAGAAGCCAGTAGAACAAATCATCCTGATAAAAACAAGGAATTAGCAAACAAAAAAAGATTGCTATATTGTGGTCCTGGGTTCCAGGATACTTTTGCCACAAGATTCGGAAAAGAAAAATATAAAAGTTGCACATTTCAAGAAACAAATACTATAATATATAATGTTTAAGTATCTTTGAAAAATAATTTAATTTAATATTTCTTTTTCCCCTGGCAGAATTTTCAAATCACTTGAACATGTTTTTATATTTAATTGTAATTTAATATGCTAGTAATATTTTTTTCTATGGTTATCTATATTTACATACGATAAGAAGGTTAAAACATCCCTTACTTAATGGTCTAATTTTCCAGAAGTCCTTATCTTGTGTTTATGTTTATCACACCAGTAAGTGATAAGGATTAAATGAACACATGTGTTAATTACGTACGCATGTGCACTGGGTTTTTATACATGTGTAAATCAATCCTTATTTTTCCACATGTGTTTAGAAAATGTATTCTAGGTAAGTTTTAAGATTTTTTCTTTTTAGTTATTAAGTTTTTAGTTTTAGAAATAAATCCAATGTCTTACAAACATTCAACGAGTGCATTACAAACACTCACTAGTAAAGGATTGTTTTATTTCGAACATTGAAAAATAAATGTATGCTTACAACTGAGTAAGTGGAAAACCCGAATGTGTGAGTATACATTTCACGCTGGAAAATTAGATATCGAAAATAAAAGATTTCACAAAATGTATAGAAGATATGTCAAAACTGAACTTAAAAAAATAAACTCGGACGCAGAGAAACAAGCCGAGCCAAAGTGGCTGGCTAATGGGCAATTTTTAGTCTGGCGGCGGCTCGTTCGGAAAAAAAATCGGCTAAATGTATTTTAAGTTGAAAGTTTTAAAAGTCAATTTATGCCCCTATTATGGTTTACAACTCAACTCAGTTGAGTTGAAATTAAACAACTCAACTTTGGAACAACTCAACTTTTTTTGGTATTATGAATTACAACCAATTTCAGTTGTAATTGTGTTGATGTTGCCAACCTTAAAAGTGCTTTTTTTGTCATAAAATTAAGTGAAAAGTTTATGAATTTGTGTTTTTCGTAAATGACAAAAGTATTGAACATCTTTTTATTGCAAATTCGTTTGAAATCAATGATTTATGAAATTTAAGAAAATTAAAAAAAAACTTTGCTTCGTATTTTTGTAATTTTTAAGTTGTAATTTGTTTAGAACTGCTTTTGATAAGTTGTAATTTTTTCAAAAAAGTTTGTAATAAATTTCAACTTGAAATTTTAAGTTGTTATCGATAATGCAAAATAGCAAAATTTCAACTAAAGAAGAGTTGAATTGTAAACCGTAATAGGGGCATTAATATGTAAAGGGATTTATTTCTGCCCCTATTATGGTTTACAACTCAACTCTTCTTTAGTTGAAATCAACTGAGTTGAGTTTGTAAACCATAATAGGGGCATTAGTCTTTATTTTTTGTAACTTTCATTCATGTGTACCGTTTTAGTCTGCAAAATTGTTATATTAAGCATTGAAGTTTTATATTACTTAATACTTATAATAAATAAAATAATTAAATAGAATGATTTAGAAAATTGATCTATAAAATTATAGGACGAAAAAGTATAAAAAATATATTTGAATAAGTTTAAAAAATTAATTTTTATTTCACCTTTTGGTGCTCCTTTCACCATTCCAAACTTTCTGTCTCCGAACTTACGTATTTAGATACTTTTGTATCTCCTTCAACAAATCATCTTCAATAGAGTTTGCTTCTGAGTTCATGAAGTTTTTCATTTTTCTACGCGTATTTGAAATTGTTCTAAATTATAAAAAAAAATATAAAGTATTGATAGAAAAAAAACATTTCATAGAAATGATAAAATTTTAAATATTTTTTAAAAATAACACAATTATAACTAAAAAAATCAATAATTCAAACTAAGTTCGAATACTTTTTAAATTCGAAATTTGTTCGAATAAAACTGCTAAAATAATTTGAATAAATTTTCTGAATATATTTTGAACTTACGTTTGTTTTTTCTGCATGATCGACAGGAGCAACAAAACTAGACGGACTTTCGCCGATTCCATGCTCAGTAATTCAAATAAATTAGTTTTTCTTTTGTAATTGGACTTAAAACTTCACCTTCCAATACGAAGTCATACGGCATACTATTCTTTTTATGTAGTTGTCTAATTTACACCAATCGTTCTGGCACGTTCTGGCGGGTCTAAGCTGCTACAACATGGACTTTTATAATTTTAAATCTTTTATAAAAATGATTTTTTAGCGTGATCATATAAATGATATCTCGACAAAATTCATATAAATGTTTTCAAAAAAGTATACGCAAGTAAGTTGTTGCCTCCGAAAATGTTTCGAAAAAAATCTTTTAACTCCTTTTTATTCCCTGTTGCATCTCTGGATTTATCAGGTTCTCTTTCTAATATATTAATAATCTCCATATTTTCTATAAAGCTGTCCAACAAACATTTATATAAATGAATTCCACCGAGTTTCAATGGAGTTTTTCAACGTGTTTTAACTGGAGGCTTTTAGAGCCTCTTCTAATCCTTCCTCAATTTGTCCTATGAAGAAGTCGTTATCGATGTTAATGCAATTGTTGATCTCTTGAATGGAACTTAAAATATTAAGGCGTTGGATTGTTGCTTAATTATCTGAAGTTTTTAGCTTTCTTCCCCTTTATAGGTGAGAGCCCGAAATATTTTCTTAAGTTTCCTAATAATATTGTTTATTATAGCAAAGAATGTATTGTTAAGGAGGTCAAAAATCTATGCAGTTTGTGGGCCATACAGTCAAACGTTCAATGTTTTGTACTTCAAGTGCCGAAGTAATATTTGTTCCACAGTCTGTAATTGCAGTAATTTTTTTTGTCAATTTCGAAAAACTTTAAAGAAATACATATTTGTTGTAGGATAGTCTTTTAAAACGCTCAGTTCACATATAGGACCTTTTTTCTCGAGACAGATAAGTATCCGAAAAATTGCCTGCATGGGGCTTGTCTGTTACGGATTATGGTAATTTCAGCCGTTTTTTTAAACAGCTGTTTTTTTTACAAAATTTTGGTAAAAGTTTAAATCTTTTCCTCTTCCTCCACGGAAGATTCCCCATTATTGCACGTTTTTAAAAAATTTATCAAGAGTGCTCTGTTCCATCAGCTCTACCGATTGATACCCTAACTTTAGTTCAGTTATTAAATTTTATAAAAAAATTCCTCAATTTTTTTAATTTAAAAATTTTAATTATTAAAATTCAGTTCTTGCTAGAAAGATTTAAATTGAAGAGTGAATGTGAAAGTACTCTCCTTGTAGCACGCTCATTAATTTTCCGCTATTTGCATTTTTGACCTCTATGTGACGTTTGTCACATAAATAATTTGCGATCCAACGTTTGACATCGTTGGGCAGAGTCAGAGTTGACAATTAGGAGATGGGCTGCATGATTGTTCTTGAGGAGTGCGTTTGTCTAGGTTTCGAATTGGAATCAACAAACACATATGAATCAAGAGTTTAAGAAAGCGTGTTAGATATTCCAGACCTACACCGAGTCTTTTCAATATATGCCATTCAGACCTAGATTCTTTTCAATATTAACATGCAGATGCGTTCGAAGGCTTCGACTTGGAGATTATGTTCACGACTTCACGTGAGGTGAAGAAGTATGGCCGAGGAACTCAGGTATACATAATTCTTAGTGCTCCAAACTATTAATCGTTTGGTCCGGATCTACGTTGCGAGGTGTTCATATGTACAAGTAGGAATTTTTATGCAAAAAATACCAAACGTCCGAATATCCAAAAAGTACTAAATTCATATTATTTTTTTGTTAAGTTATGAAGGAGTAAAATTTGAATAAAGTACCTGCCCGCTCATTTTTAAATAAACGACGATAAGCTTTAAACTGTTTTAGTATCTTATCTAGTTTAGGAGATTTGAGGTTACCGAATGTACCCTTTTGTACGCCCTAAACATTCAAATTTCCAAAAAATCCAGTCCTAGTGAATCTATTTGGTAGAAGACCAATCTTCAGTCCAAATTTCAGACCTTTAGCGTCAACCAGTCAGTCAGTCAGTAACGTTATAATTTTATATATGTATATAGAAATCATCCGAGTTTCTTAGTAAGTGCGGTTGTATTTCTTCTAAATAAATAATTTGGCGCATTACCAACTTTTTGTAATTAATAATATCGTATTTAACTCCATTTTAATGTTCATCCAATTAAGAGTTCTTACTATTAGTTCAATTGAAATGTATTACATTTTAAAACTGCTCGCATTGCCTTGTTTTGTTGTTTTGAAAATTTAATTCAATACTTAATAACCGATTTTAATAATTTTTTTCTAAAACACTATGTTTTTGAAAAATTTCATCATCATTAATTGACAAAAATTAAAACAAAATGCATTTTCATGAAAGAAAAATGAAAAGAAAATGTTGGTTCTTTTAAATTTTATTCGAGATAAGAGAGAAAGGTGAAGTCTGTGCCCTCATTGTAAAAATAAAAAAAAATATTCTTAAAGAAAATTAAATTTGAAAGTTTAATCTTAAAATCTAATTTTAAACTGGAACAGCTGTCCAGCACCACCACGTCTGGTATGCGTATTTTGTGGTTTTTCGACTAGTTTTATTGATTATATCTGGACGTCTAGACGGACTCTTGACGATTCTTTT